AGACAGACCTCTCTCTCCTCTCTCCCCTCTCTGAGGAAGACAGTGTAACTGCTTCTCAGTCTCCTCATCACACTGGGCAGCAGACAAAGGAGGAAACGGACTTCAAAATGAACTGTAGGACAATTTCAAACCAAACTGGGCAGAATTGTAAAGGAATCTCCTGAGCCCTTAGAGCACAGCGCCAGAGAGAGCAGAGTCACACGCCCGGGGTGGGGTGGACTGCCGTCCTTTTCAAAGGACCAGTACAGTTCAGCACAGAACCATTTCTTCTGAGCTGATCTGCTCTGTGGAATAAAGACATGAGGCTTTCTTGACTCCCTGAAACGCTGGTCAGAGGAAAGCAGACACCTGATTGCAAAACAGTCGTATTGTCGTATTTTATAACCGGGGGAGGTTGTGGTATTTATTTGCAAGAGCGTTAATTTTATTTATTTGCTTGCGCGCTCATCTTTGCTGTGGTGTAATGAATGCATCGGGAGGTGCGCATTCCCAGTACAGCCATTTCCCCGCCCGCAGGAGTGAATTTCTGGGAGCAACAGTTGCTCCGCCATTAGACAGCAGGTTGAATTAACGACCCGATCGTGCAGCTCAGCCCCCAGCGCTCGCGCGGGCACCGGGGCTCCCGAGATCCCGGCACGCGGGGAGGGGAGACGGAGCGAGACGGAGCCGGCAATACCAATGAGGAGCTCGAGCCAGACCCGGCACCCGGGACCCCGAGAGGGATCTCGCGTTCGAAACAGCCCCAGGGGGCACAGCGCCCCGCTACCCGCAGCCCGTCCGGAGAGCCCCGGTTTACACTGCAGGCGAGGAGACCTTCACCAGTGAAAGAAGCAGTGCGGACCCTTGTCCTTTTAAGACGCTCTTTAATCTTTACAAAATCCAGTCCTAGCATCTCCACCGGTAGCATCGCCATCCCCGTTTCTCTTACTGGTAGAAACCCGGTGCCCGTGAGCCCAGACACTTACCGAACCGCCGCGCTGGGCACGCAGTGAGGCGCAGGAGCGCTTAGACTGGAGTGCGCCCGGACTGCTCCGCTGGAAATGCCATCGTCTTGCGTCCGTCTCTCCCCCGGCTCGGTCCTGCTCTGCTGCGTCTCCTCCGCCTGCCTCCACGCTGACAGTGTGTGACGGGGAGCGCGAGAGAGCGCCTCCACGAGCGGGCGGGACCGACCGGCTGCTGAGGAGGAGGAGGAGGAGGCAGGGCGCGCGCGGCCGGCGCGAGGCAGCGCCTTTCCCTGCTCACTCGTCTCCATGGTTACCTGCCTGACCCATATAACCCAGCGGAGCGCCGGTACCGGGTGGGACGGGCGCCGGCGCCTTCATGTGCAGTAACGCGCTAGCGGCCGGTCCGGCGGGGTCCGAGCCCTCTGGCCCCGGCTGTCCTGTCCCTCTCCCGCTCCCCGCCCTGTCGCCCCCACGATGGAAATGTCCCCCTGCTTTGCGCTGCGTGTCGGAACCCGTCTGCGTGTGTCTGAGCGCAGCGATGTGCTGCACCGGAGCCGAGACCGGGGTCGGGGCTCCTCCCGGCTGCACACCCGGGGCACAGCTGCGGGCGGTCCGAGCGCCAGAGCGGCCGGGTCTGTCCGTCCCCCTTGCGCCGCAGAAAGCACTTTATCGGGGGAATCACATCACACATTCAGGCTGAAGGATCTCGTCCCAGTGGGTTAGCTGACGAGCTTTTTTTTTCATAAGGAGCGCATGTTGTGTGTATGTTGGTGCCACCGTCACCTGAGATGTGTGTGTCCCCGACCAGGGCAAGGTTTTCCAGGACCAGCGCCTGGGGGCTCTGGGAGAGAGAGCTCCTGAGCGCAGTGGTGTTCAGGACTGAACCCGCAGACACAGTCTCCTGACCGCTGGTGCTGCAGCTGCAGCAGAGACGCGCCCAGGCTCCGGAGAGTCCTGGAGTCTGCTGCTGTTCGGTGGTGTATCTCTGCCCCTGGAGGGCTGGCCTGTCTGTAGGTTCTCCCACCTCTTAATGACCTGTGTCAATAATGAATGACTCTCGGCCGAGGTGGACCAGTGTTCCAGCTGCTCCCATCTCATGGGCCTCTGGAGGTTTCAAGAGACCCAGGAGACACTCGGTACCCCCCAGAACCCCAGAAGACACATAGGGTACCCCAGGAACCCCGGGAGACACACCCCACCAAGAACCGCGAGAGATCCCCCCCCTTCCAGGAACCCCAGGAGACACTCGGTGCCCCAGGAACCCCAGGGATGGCTGCAGTGCGGGCATCTCTGCCAATCAGATACTCTGGTGCCTTCCAGTGTTCCTCTTTCACGGGGAAGATGAGGGCTTCGCCTCGTCAGCACACATTCCTGTGTAATAACTGCACAGAAATGTAATAGATGCAATTGTGACCCCAGGAACGCAGCAGTCCTGTCGAACCAGGAAGACGGAGCCGTCTTTGTGACAAGATGCTAAAAGTGACTCAGAAGAGCCGCAGGTACGCCCTCGTCTTGACCCCTGTAGCGATTTACAGGCTCCTCGCTGCTTTATGATCTATAAATAATCTCTTCAGCGCACAGCAGCTCCTGTAAAAATGTGCCAAAGCGCTGAATCTGAGGACCAGTGCAGACTCCAGAGAGTGCTCCGAGCGAGACGCCTGGGGCTCCCTCACCGTACCCCACAGTCTTGATTGCAAGACAGACGTTGTTCTGTTTCAGTCTTCAGGGAGTCTCACTCTGTCCCCCAGCTGGAAGGAGGACCTAGCTGAAGAACTGGGCTCTGTCACTAGAGCCTCTGGACCCTGTGGGTCCCCTGTCCGAGCGCCCCAGGGCCTGACAGAGGAGGGGCGCGCCTCTCTCGGATGCCGTCCACCATAGCCTAGGGACTCGGGGCCACGGTTGTCCAAAGACTGGGGTGGGGTCCCAGTACCCCGCGGTCCAGTGCGTTCACCCGCCGTGGCACGGAGAGAGGTGGCAGAGGGTCCTGGGACTGCTGGGGTCTGCAGGGCAGGTGATGGGAGCGGACAGGAAGAGGAGGCTGGTCTGGGGTTCAGGGGGAAGGAGACGGAGACGCCCCGCTCGTTAGGAGAGACACGCGAGCCCAGAGTGTAAGAAACCAGCAGCGAGCGAGCGCTCCCTCCAGACTCACACGGCCCAAAGCTTGCACCCTCCGCGACCTCCGGCCTCCCAGTGTTGTGTGTGTGAATGTGTACGTATGTGTTGTGTGTCTTGTGTGTATGAGGCTGGGCTGTGCCAACTCGAGTATCTGCCTGGCGTTTGTGTTTGCGGGTCAAGGCGTACGGAAACGACAGCTCTGCCTACCCTCGGGGCGGCGAATATGCAAGGGAGATAAAACTGCGCGGAAGTGCACTTCAAACTGAGGACCGCGGGACCTTCTGTACGCAGAGGGTGGCGGGAGTGTGGAACAAGCTGGGTGGGCTGGGTGACCCACTGCGCGGCGCTGCTGCAGACACAGAACCGGGCCGCTCGGGCCATCGGGGGTCCAGCAAGGTGGCAGCGAAACTCAACCCCACTCCTGCCAGTCTCGTTAAACACCGGCCCTCCTTAGTTGAGGTTTCAGAAGGTGCTGGAAGGCTTTTCATTCGGAAGCAAAGAGGGAGAGGAGAGGAGAGCAGAAGAGGATGAGGATGACACGCCTGCATGTTTGAAAGTCTTGAGATCCTTTGATCAGGGCACCACTCAAGCACAAGACAGGGTCCATCTGATGCACTTCTGTTCCTGGAGTGAGTTTTTTTTCCAAGCCTGCTGAATTTCTTAATCATTTTCATTTGATTTTTTTGTTTTTCAAGGATGTTGATGACAACCAGGGGATCTATAAATAGCGGTCAGCCAGAGAGCGAGGGCGACGGCTCGCTAATTAGTTCCAGAACCCATTCATATAGCAGAGTGACAGTCTGGTGAAGTCCATTCTGAGGAGGGGGCCTGGGGCCTGGCTGAGCGAGCAGAGCTCTTCAGACCC